CACCTAACCTCGGGAGACGCTACCGGAGCGCCTAGAGAAAAGGCACTCATGTCAGCTGTGGTGTCTTAGTACAAAAATGACAGTACCTCACAAAAAAGGCCGAGCCGATTACAGCAGTTGCCCCAGTTTCACCAAAAACAGTGACGAAAAAACAATTATAGCGTCACAGTAAAATATCTCTGCAACACTCGCGCATAACAGAAATCTTTAACACATTAAAAAACTCAAAACTGACAACAAATTCAACAAATATGTTCTATTTCTCAGCTGTTTCGCTCACTGGTTCATTTACTCCAGGAAGTAATTCTGCCGTTCGGCTCGTTGCGCTTGATGACGTCACATTTCTTTCATTGCCATTTTCACCTGAAATAATAGAAATTAATAATGATAATTGTTATAACAATAATGATGATTTCAATTACAGCTAATTACTACACAGTACTGATCAATCAGCAAGTCAGCGGAAGCTAAGAAACTTATTACTCATAACCAAACACTACGTCACTACCACGGTCAGCAGCTGTGGTGTGAAACTGGTCCCCATCAGAGCAAGAAGCAAACAGATAAAGATAAAACAACAAAGACATAAATAAAACAGCAAAACAGATTTAAAGAGCTGCACTGGAACATTCTATTGTATTTTTCAGAATATCTCATCAACCAGTAAACTATAACCACAAGCCCGTGTCACAAAGTACTGTAACACTGCTCTGGTGGCATTAGGCAAGATATGAAAACACAACCTTATACGACAATGCTTTAGTTTGATACTTGCGTACAGTGTGAATTACCCGTTGAGATGCTAGCTGTGGCTGCAGTTTTCGGAATGCATAACGGTGATCGTGAATGATCCCGCACTTCTGGTAGTCTGGCTCGTCTGATGCGAAAAGTTTTCCGATCGCGAAAAATTTCCCGTCCCTGCTGCATTGCCCTGCTATAATATACACAAAACTTTTCAATGTTATTGGAAAATCTAAAAATTTATTTGTCCCACATGCCTTTCTGGATTTTCCTGAGTTATCACACACTTGTGATAACTTAGGAAAATCCAGAAAGATTGGCAGAAGGAATACGAATAGAGGACAAAGAAGCCAAATCAAATGAAAGATTTCCGGTCGTCATGTGTTTTTTCACGCACGCTTAAGCACACGGTTCGGTCCTGTCTGTATTTCGTCCCTTATCTGTTAACAGAGGCAATCAGTGAGAGTGGACAACAATGGGAATCATCAGTATAGCCCCTTATTCACTACATTATGAAAACATATCGAAACACTAAGGAGAAAAGGAAAACAAGAAAAGGAAGCACAGCAAGTGTAAAATTGCTGTCCATATGTAGCCGCACAGATGAACTTCTGCATGTGCGTGTGTCTGTGCCTCGAGTTTGGACACTTCGAAGCATTGTTTGCAAAACCATTACAATTTTCGTCAACTGAAGCTGAAATTTCGGGAGGACGTTACCTGTGTGCAGCTATAAAGGGGAAAAACCAAAATTCCAGAAAGTTCCACTGTGCAACACCACCGGCGCAGCCGGTGGTCCCCAGCCTCCTTCTCCGTAAACTTGAAAAAAAAAGATTAAGAAAGGCTCATAAGTGCATGGCCAGTGGGAAGTACACATCTCGAGATAAAAATAAAAAATAACAGCAAAAAAAATACTGTTTCAAGAACTACTTCTTTTGATGAGTCGATGAGCGTGTGTTCCAGACGTGTCGAATTCGGATTGCATCTTCACCTTGTAAGTGTTCATATTGGTGGAATGGTAATCGCCCATCATCATACATCGAAACAATCCTACTATTCGAGAACGGCATTCCTCTTTCAGGCAAAAACGGAGAGCATCCGGAATCCAAAAATGAAGTACCACGGTCATCCATATGCAAAAAACCATCGCGAAGTGATGGTCCAACGTAACGGTGAGACCTAGAGGAGGAGAGATGCGCTAGTCGCGGCACACCACCGGCTGATGGCCCAGAATGCTCCATTTCGGGAGCAAATCGTGGTCCGAAACTCAATGCTCCATGTTCTCTGGATACCATATTTCCATTACGTGGCCCGAAAGGTGATTCACTGAATGTTTCCATTGTATGGTCGTTTGCTAGTAGTTTGCCTTGAATGAAATGTTTCGAATATAACGAACGCCTTTCCCTGGACAATTCTGTGTCACTTATCGATGCTCGTACCTAAAACAGTTTGCTGTTTACAGAAGCAATCGCACTCACTAATTTGTCCCAACAAAACTATTACTCAGCTTACAGTCTCAGCGACTCGGATCCGGCCGCACCATATTTTTGCCTGTCGAAACTTGCAAAGAACTACCGTCACGAAGACAAGTGAAAATCAGAATTAACCAGCTAAACCAAGATGTCCAAAGCAGCCTGCCAGAGCTGCACTCAGCTGCAAGAACGCAGTGTGCAGAAAAATTATAATCAAAGCTAAGAGGGAAGTTAAGGGAAAACTACAGAAGCTGTCAAAAAACGTTAATAGCGCAATAATAAGGCTATTGGGTCATTTCAGTGGTTGAATAATTTCCCCGTTTTAAAGTTTATCCGGGGAAAAGAAAGCTCAAGATAGTAAAGGAATGTTTAATTTCACAGACAGGCTGCAGATTTTCTTTTATACGGAGATGATGTCCGTAACCAGCGAGAACTCTTCCCGCACGTTCTTTATCTTCAGCTAAGAACACCAAGACTACTCAGATAGTCGGTGTGGAGATCCTATACATGTTTCGATATTCTCAAATCCTAGAAACAGGCCCTCGGATCCTCGGTGACACATCCTTCGTCAGTAACTCCTCCTTCGCCTGATTATGATTGATAACATGTGCTTCGCCTTTTCGGAAGCCAATCGAATGATCATTTACTTTTTCGCGGGCGCCACTCACTCATGCATAAGGCTCGCCGATTGTCAGCAAACAGGAGGCAAGTCCTGCCCAACCGATTTCATATTTTTGCGCAGCTGAAATGATATCCTGGATGCTGCTCATCCGGTGCAAAGCCTGACTGCTTATCCATTCGTCACTCTATCACTCCCTCCGCCCAACTTTCCGCGTTCTGTGGTATATGTTACTGCCTTTCAACACTGTGATACTGAAAAGGACTGTCAATCTAGACTGATGCTCTGAAAACATCGACAGGCAGTGAAAGTTGAGTCAACCGACGGTCCTTTTCACACAGTTGCAGTAATTGATTGCAGTGCATATTTATTTCCTGACTGAAACCAACGTAGCTTGTATTTTTTTTTTAAGTTGACACTGTCCATTTGCCATCTGACTACGAGGTACACCGGCACTCTGTACTACCTCTGTTTCCAGTGCGCTGTTTTTCAGGTCTACATTTACTTCGTGCATTAAACTCATGCAGAATCCTACTTATTTTAACAGTGCTGCTCGAGAAGGGTACTATGTCAGCTATGAATGATAAATGGTTTGTTTCGGTGGCTCATCACTGATGCCCCAGCCACCTCTTCAATTCAGCTTGCCAAGTATCGTCGTGAAAGAGACCGCGAAAAGCTTCGGTGATATGGAATTCCCCCAAACCCGCAGTCCTCTCGACTGACATACGAATCGGAGCAGAAACAAGTGTCAATATGGTCTATCTTGTGCAAGAAAAGTTCCCGTTCCCCAGCTGCTGGGTATTTTTCTCTCAGCCAAGTAAAAGTAGAACCGGAGAGAGTTTCCCCTCAAATTTGATGCACCCGATGTTAATGCAAGCCTTTTAGTTCCCACTTGAAGAACTGCGTTCTTATCTTCCTATTAAGTAAAAAGGGGAATTACTGCTTGATGGAGCGAATTACAAGCGCTGGAATGTCGGCACGCGATCCAAACAGATTCGCAGAGGATTTCCTACAAATGTTCTTCATGTTCGTTCGTTCAGTCCATTTTCATCCTTTAGCGCAGACATTGTGAGAAGGTATAATAACAGTTCCTCCCTACACTTCTTCAGGCTTTATTTTTTTTTTTTTTTTTTTTGAAGATCAAAAACCACACCCACCCAAGCAATAAGGCATTCTTAAGCAAACGATACTAAGCATACACAAGCATGTTTTTTTACAATTGCGAAGAAAAAAAACGTACGGCGTTGGCTGTTGGAGACATATCAACCGTAGAAGTGCCAGGGTTGCCGTATGTCCGATCACTTCGACCTTAAAGCAAGTCCTGTGAGAATAAAAACGAGCACTAACATGAAAGGGACGAAAAAACATCGCATCAACAGATTCACGGGTTGGCCTCTGCAGCGACAACAAATAAAGTTACACTATAAGGTCTGCCTGAGTGGAAATCTGATATAGCTGAAATGAACCCACAAGCTCGGCACATCATGCAGACCTCCTCTGCTCCAAGCTGAGAGTATCTCCTTTCTGTAACTGCTGCTTGCATCATGCAAGCAAGCTACTCTTTCTGTAACGTCCAGTAACTGTTTTCTAGCAGGCACCACCCGCTATCTGACGTCCACAGCCTGTTAGCAAAATAAACTACCCATCGGACTTTAGCGTAATAGTAATGACATCCCGTAGCTCGCTCATCTAAGGAAGGATCTCTCTATGCGTACGGTCACGAATCAATCTTTTCATGGCTGTCTCAATAAAACCAGATCGACCTTTTGCTTTCGTTAGCAGCCATGACAGGCACCCATTTATCAGTGATTTCCAACATAATGGTGGGTGAAAAACATTTCAAAAAATGCATGTTACAGAACGCATTACTGGTGAATGAGCAGTGTTATGCAAAGGTGAAAAAATTACCAAGCTCCGCTCGATTTATCGTCGGTGGTGGAATCGAAAAATCAGCGGGTGGGATAGCAACAGAACCAATTCCTGAGGGAGCAACAGACGGACCAACATTTGATAAAGTCCGTTCAGCACGAAAGTGTGGCTTCGTTGTAGAGGAACGATTCAAAGGGAAGTTCTGGTTCGTTGATAATACACCGAATGATCCCGGGCTATAATTCAAAAAACTTCTTTTTAGCAGAAGAAAAAAATGAAATTGCTAGCTGTGAAACAAAACAGCTCTAAAACAGAAAAATTCTAAAAAATGCGTCAGAAAGTGTGACCAAAATGCAACAACCAAAAAAGTAGAGTATCAAAATTATAAAAATAACAAATCATCTGAAAACGAAAACCTGGTGCAAACTGGGAAATAATTTTAGGAGTTAAAAAAAAGTACCAGGATTTTGATGCAGAAACAGGTACGCTTGTCTGTGATTCAATATGCCCTATAAAAAAGTACATTAAGACAGACAAAATGCATAAAAAAAATGATTCCCATGGGCTGTGTTCAGAGCAATTAATTCGAATGAAACCGATTTATTAACTAAACATTTCAACATTTAAAAAGTATATAACAAAAGATCTGGCATTATTCATAGAATTACTATCCTCATCATGTGTTAGTTTCCTCCTCCTCCACCTGCTCTATCACTCCTACTTCTTTCATGATATTAAACATTTTCTCTTCTTCTTACACTCTTTATCCTTTGCTTTCACTCATCCTTCTAGCGAATTAGCTACATGTCCTTTCAATACCTGGCGGGTAGAGGGCTGTACTGATGATTCCCACTCCTACCCGCATGCATAGTTCGGTCTGTGTTTACAGCTAAGGGATGAAACACAGACTGTATCGAAAAATACCACCCCACCACATCTAAACGATAAAGGCAATTTGCACCATAAAATAATACCACACACATGGCCTGCGTGCAATCCTGTTGGTCAATTATTATAAAATAGTTCTGTCTATGCAGTGCAATCAAAATTTTAATAAGTGAAATCGTCTTTACCTTTTTATAAGAAATCCCAAAATATGGGACATTAAAGACACAACTGCCCTCTTTGGATACACGCGTAGCAAAGACAGAGAAGGGAGGTAGTTCTTTTTATGGGTCTTGCGCTGCAACAACAGTGCAAAAAAAACGCGTACTGTCAAGATCCTCCCGGAATTTTTGTCTAAAGTTTTCAACCGAAAGACCAGAAGAACCAGAAGGCTCGAATTTTAGACGCATATTTTCCGCCCATATGCGATCCTGCAAATTTAAATCTAACTTTTAGCTACATCGACGAACACGCGAGTTCTGCCAGGAAATTTACTAGCACGACGACCAAATAAGACAGAAAGCCGAAATTTCAGGAGGGGTTTACTGAACTGCAATCGGGAAATTTAAATTTAAATCGTACGTACGATTACATCTCGTGCATGGCCACATCTGACGAGAAATTTTCTAAGTCGGGAACCAGAAATGACAGAAGGCTGGGAACCCCCAGAAGAGCACTTCCCTTTCTACTAGTGGCTTGATTCGAAAAACGGATGGTATGCTTTAGCTATGCTTCTACAATTTTTTTTAAAGCAATATTATTTTAATTCTGTCACTAATGTAATTTTAGCTAAGCCAGTTACTCCTTTTTCTTTGTTCATGCGCATACATGTGATACCGTCTATACAATAACATATAAACGCACTTTTCTTCAGCCTGAATTCGCGTGTTTCATAAAAAGAAAACCTGATTATCCCTACGAAATAATTTACCACTTATCGTGCCTTGCAAATAACAGCATTCACAACCAAGAAATTTCTACCATATTTCAGTCTTAAGTAGTTCCTAATGCCTTTGCAGCAACACTCCTACCAAGAGCTATCATTCATGACGAGATCAAGTATCTTATTCCGATTAAATAATCAAATAAGGATGTTTCTGTACAACCACAGCCATTTACTATAGTGAAAATTTGTGAAAGATATTTGTATATTTTGCATTTATTGATTCCTTCATAGCTGTTTCAAGTGAATATTGAGCCACACTGAGGGAATCAAAAAAAGAAAGCATAAAAACTGATAAACTGCTATTTAAAATTACCCGCATTCGCTGACTGCTCTTTTTCATGCAAAAATTCCGCAACATCCCGGCCAATATTGGTTGACATTATATCCATTCCGCGCTCGCTCATTATTTTTTTCAATTCTTCAAAGGTTTCTCGCAATAAACGCATCTCATTCGTGTGCATAATGCGCATTTCGCTGGAAAAAAGCTTATCATCATTTCCTGTAACGCATCACACAGCGAAGCTTCCAAATAGCCACAGTTTCGATGATGTCCTGATGATGCATAATTTTCTAAACTACGAAACGTCAACAAGGGAGGACGCGATTTGGTCGAGCCCCGAATCAACTGTGCATGCACGACAAGCAGCCAAAGAGGAAAGAATCTGCACACACTGCGATATTGGCCTGCATACTGAATCACACTGGGAAATCCGAAGCGATATTCCGCCGATATTAACGCACATTTGAGTAACGTGTGCTAAGGCTCAAACGGCATAATACTGTAACCAGATATCTTTGGAATCTATCCAGTACTTACATAGCGTTCCTTTTTTCATCAACGCCTCCACGGTTTCTAGTAATAAAGTCAACTCATTTTTGCGCATAATGCGTACTTCGCTAAGAAAAAATTTTAGCGAAAGCTTCCCGAACTTCGTGCCCCATGGACAAAAACTCGATACTAATATCGTTATTACTGGGGCTCCTTCACTTTTCATTTGAAAAACCGAACAGTCCAGCTCGCCGGCAATCATACTGTGATATGTTAGCTGACCGGCAGCAATTAAAAGTAATGAGATGTTGGCTCGTGATGCAAACAAATTCGTGTGGGCTTTCAAAATATTTTCTTCACGTCTATTCGGTCCATGATCATCCGACGTCTACCTTCCACTATTAAGCACTGCTATTGCGGGACAGCATAACAGCATTTTTTACTGCAATTCGTCAAGCGTTTCTCGCGGTCTTCGTCGACAGCTGTAATTCAGGATGGCTTCCAAATTTCGTATGGTGTCTCTGCAGCGGAAAGTGGTTATGCTCAGAAAGTTCCAGTCCTCTAGCCCTTTCAATTTCGAAGTTACAAAAGTGCATGCTTGAAATTTTCACGTGTCCATACGTGAGATGAAGCGCTGGAAAACTCAATTTGCTTTGATGCTCACAACAGCGGGCAACAAGTAACGCTGCAAGATTGCAGCTCTCTACAACTTCTTTGTCAGCTTAAATCTGGAGTTGGCACGATGCCAGTTTGGACTTTGACGTGTCCGTATGTGAGACCTAAGAGTGTATGAAGGCTGAATTTGAAATCTTTGGATTAAACACGGCCAAGAAAAATCTCTGTGAAGTTCCAGCCTCCTAGCTTGCGTCGTTCCCGAGAGCGCTTTCTCGCCAAAAAAATTTTCACATGTCCGCACGTGAGAATCACGCGGGGCTGAGAGTCCATCTCGAGGAAAGGGGCCCGCACTTACATGTAGATTAATTACCAAAGTTTCAGCCTTGTAGCTTTTGTGGATCTCGAGATGAAACCTCGTTACAGACGCAGACACAGACAAAAATACATACGCACACAGAGACAACCCATCGACAATGCGTTTTTACATTGCACAGGTGCAAAAAACGCATAAAAATATTACCAACAAACAGGTTTTTTTATCTAGCTAGTCACGTCCGTTACTCCCCTCGGCCAGTACAGCGCTTACAGCGTATCTTTTTTGCAAAGTTTTGCGTTAAAAGTCCCCATAAAATCCTGTGTGCAAACTTGAAAATTACGATCAGTTCAAACTCGACATAGAACTCTTCACCATCACCGTTGCTGCTGACCGTGGTGGAAGCAGAAACATAGATGACTTTGTGTATTTTATTGGAATCTAGCCTCAGGATACGCTAATTTGCGATGAGAGAAACTGACGTCACACGATTTGTGGAAGGCACTTTCTGTTTATGATAAACCCAACTACCAACATTTCTCTGCCCTTCTCTAGTGCTGAGCAAAACCATTTTGCTTTCCATCTTGATTACAGTATTTTCGGTCCCACGTCGCGTTTCTCACACACGCACACGCATCCACACACATCTAGGACGTTGCACGATCTATCGACCTCCTGAAGACTTCCTGGCTGCCGATCCGCTGCTGTCGACACACAATAAGGGCGTACAGGATACAGAAACTCTTTTTATTTGTTTCATTTATGTTGTTTCTTATGACCATTCGCTGGCCAAATTGTCAGTGAATCACATCGGCTACGCTTAGTACGGAAAATATGCGGCACAGCATCGCAGAAGCATATTTAGAAAAGCCGAGAGCGTCTTAGTACCCCTGGTTCATTTTCACTTCTACATCATAAACATGTGACTGAATCTGGATTTTGTCGGAGCTTTTTTTTAACTGGCAAATAAGTAGAAAACAAACTCCATTAATTTCTGACGATTCTTTGAAAGGCGGATTTGTTCCTGACTCGTCTCATGTAAGTTACTTATCAGAAGTCGTAGGCTGCGATCATCCAATTCCGCGACCTAAAACTACAACAAGGCCTTACTGCTGATGATAACTCAGTGCAAAAAAAAACTTGAGCAAAACACTGAATTTGAAAAATAGTGCGATTATACAACAAATTATTTTTTCCGATAGTTTCAGACAAATTATATTTGTTGCCGATCATTCATTCGTCTCAGCCCAAGTAACTAGATTACCTTCCTGTTTCCAGTATTTTTAGAAAGTAACCAAGGGGCTTACTCGAAAAAATAGGTAGGACATTGCTATGACCGCATCAAAATCTGTAGCATAAAAAATGTAGCCTGTGTGGCTTAGTTTCCCTGTGAGAGTTAGATATTCCTAATGAAAAACAATAATAAACAGCGGTGCGCACGACGGCAGCCGGTGCGGCCATGCGTTTTGCGCAGTTCCGTCCAGCGAACGTTTGCCTACTAAGGATTTTTACTGCTTTGCACGTCGGTCTGTGCAAAAACAGTAGAAATGCTGCCAGGCTTCCAAGTTGCGAAATTTCCAGCTAAAGCTTTGTAGACTAAACATCCTTCCCAAATCAACCCCATAATTTTCTGGCTTTCGAGTGATTTTCGAGCCAAAAATTTTATGTGATCGTGCGTGAGCCCTCGGCATACCTGGGAATTAAATTTGAGTCTGTGTGGCCCCTGCACAGGCAGAAAACATCCTCCTGAAATCTTCAGCCTCCTAACTCTTCTGGCTTCCGGGTAATAATTTCTCCCATCAAAACATTCACAGGGGCGTTGATAGCCAGGCGTACGTGAAAGCTGAATTTGAATTTGCAGGATCGCACGTGGACAGAGGGCAATAACCTAAAATTCCGGCTTCCCACGTGGTTCCCAAAGCAATTTCCCCCACCAGAACTTTTACAGGATAGTACATGGTACCCAGACCTGAATTTAAAGTTGCGGAGCCGTATTTGGGCAGGAGATATTGCCGTAAAGTTTTAGCTCTCCAGCTTTTGTGATTTGCAAGATAATAATTACCCCACCAAAACCTTTACGGAGCCGCACGTGATACCCGAAAGCACGGGGACGCTGAATTCAAATTTACGAGTGGTTGTGTGTGGGCAGCGCACATTACTGCAAAATTTCAGTTTCTTAGCTTTCGTGGTTCCCGATGTAATAATTTCC